ACCGCATCAACATCAAGTAAAAGTGGTCAACAAAAAGAATAAATACCAATGAGTATGTTTCACACTTATAAACAAGACAAATTGCTGTTCACAATTGCCTATCGCTCAGAAAGAAGCATGGAGCAGTTAATAAATAAATCATTCTTACATTTGATGTAGCTAGCGCCTTTCACATTGGGAGGATTCTCAAAGAGCTTCACAGAATGTACTACAATAATAATAATCCTTGCATTTGATACAGTGCTTTATCACGTCATTAAAAGGTTTCAATGTATCACAGGATTTACTGTAAGGTGCAATGCCTTCTATTAAAGTGTAGTAACAGTGTATTTTGTAGACAAACCGTTTTACACTGTTACCCCATTAGGCTTTCAAACATAATGTCTTCAATCACTAATTCGATTCATTTGTTTTTCTGCTTTATACTAAATTAACATAGCCTGAGTGCTAATACTGCAGTCCCAATTATCTACTAGGTGGGGGGGGGAGGATTCTTTACTACACATTTTATTATTGCTCTCAGTGTTAAGTGTTTTGACAACTAAATCTGCTTTTACAGCGGGGAAGGTGTATCTGCTGTTGAAATGCCCGATATTCAATTTAATGTCAAACTGAAAGCTGCAAACAGACTGTGAAGCTGCATCTTTTGTTGTCTGTCTTTATAAAACTGCTAAAATGCAGCCTCATGTAACATAGTTAATTTTGCTGATTCCTATCCTGAAGTTCAAAACATTGTTAAGTAAACAAAAGAAAACAGATTAACTTGAGGAAGAGTCACATTTCTATACACAGCACAAAGCTCGTCCTCAAGTGTTTTTGAAAGCGATGCCACACAACATAACCTTCCTCTTAAATAAAACACAAGCATTATGAATATGTATATCAATAACCTGAGATATTTATGACAACCTGCCTCAAAAGGCTACCTGCCTGTTGCGACCAATGCAATTTCAAGAGCTTGGACAATAAAGATTACTCAGACTTGATTCTGTATTATGAGGTTATCTGATGGAAGTCCCAAAGGGGCTCTTAAGAGGCAGGTTTCACTGTATAACGTGACATAAAAAATGGTTTTCTCAAAGGGAATAATGTATTCAAGCACTATACGTTCTAATTAAAACAAATACTATATCTAAGCCATTAGGCCCAGTGTCTCTTGGGTGAAGCATCAAGAAACCGTGATAGTTAAATGTTCGTATTCCTATTTGAATGTGACTCCACACAACGTAAAAAGAAAGTCTTTATGTGTACGGGTACGATTCTGCTGTGAGACAGATTACAGTGGATGAGACAAATAGAAGTACAATGCCAGCTTCGAATCACCAAGAAGAATTGCTTGCTTAAGAATGACAAGAAGCATGAGTACTTACTCTTCATTAGAGAGCCAATCTGTGCCATCTAACTGATGACAGATTTGTCCAAAAGAATAGCTGCAAACCACTTTGGAATTTTTGTGTGCCTGTGGTCACAAATTATCTAGATGTGNAAAAAAACTATTTGGCTGAGCAAACTTTGATGTGGCACTTGCAGATTTCTGTTGTGAAAACATCTTGAGGGCAATCAAGTGCTATTAACACATGTCAGGAAAGCCTCGTATGAATTACTATGAAAATTGCAGATAACCACACAGCTTTTCCATCACTGTCCAAATATTCAGATAAAAACAGTTTGCATACCTACTAAAGCGCTGTAGAGTTTAACTTTCTGCACTGGCTTGTTTCTGGGTACAATAATCAGAAGGATGACATGAGGCAATTAATTAGCTCCATCGGCATCAGTGCATTTAAATAATTAATGTGTTCATTACAAGCGTGAATTGATAGTTTTATTTCAGGTAAAAAGATACCCTTCACCACACCTGGATTGTGCTGAGACAGGTTTCTCCGGTTGAGAATGCAAACAATAAATATAAATTCTTGCTCAGATTATCAATCCAAAACCATAATACAATTCCATTTGTTCCTTTATTTTAATTGCAAGGACATATTATGAATACAGTGTCTGAAATGTATTTTTAATGAAAAATACTACATCTTGACCTAATCATATCAACCTTATTCCACCTAATTAAGGATGCAAAAATCATTACAGTTGCAAAATATTAGTTCCAGCTCTATCAAGCTGCTAGCCGCTCCTTCATGAATATAAATTTTTTTTACTCTGTGATAAATAGTTAATGAGGTAAAAATGACAAAATTTGCATGTAGGCAAATTAGTTTAATAGGAAGATGACTTGGTTGACTCGAGAAAGTGACCTTTTCTCTGGCAAAAAAAAATGGCTAAAACAATTAGAAAAAGATCACAAGACTCTGTGGCCAAATGAACAATGGTGTATTTCGATCTTGTGAGGGGGTGGTGAGGGGGAGACTGAAGTTGAAATAAAATTGCATTTTCATCATAATGCCAAAAGTATTTAAATTCTAATACATTTTAACAGTCAAATCGTTGAAAATTACAGCTAAGATGAAGTATGCTATGAAATGGGTCATTTCTTTTTCTTTCTCTCTCCCCTGCCCCACCACTACCAATATTAAATACAGGGGATTTTATAAGTAAAGAGCTGAAACATTTATGGCTACAAGGCAGCATTTATTGTCCCATCAGCACCCAAAAAAATTATTAGGAAACCTTTTCCAAAGTAACTCCCTGCATAATTTATGCCCTCAATCAAATCAATTCAATCCAATAAAAGACTGTAAAAATTCAATGCAAATTCTGTTTCGTCTTTGTCTTACATTTGTTTCCGAAACGTGTACCAACCATAAATGAATCCTGTGTAGCTCTTTTAAAGGATAGGCCACAGGTCCCCAGGGCATGTTGGCAAAATAAAAAGCTATATTTTGGCTTTAATATCTTTCATTTTGTTTCCTTGAAAATAAATGCTGTACAACTTTAAACCTGCTCCATTCTTAATGCAAGTTTAATTTGAATATAGGATCACAGGTCTTTTTATAATCAAAACGGAAGTAATTCTTAAATGGCCTTGTGTAACTATGGATTCATTATTAAACAGACTCCGCTGAATGAACTACTCTTCTAATCGTTATACATCTCTCTGCTTTTTTTTAGTACATTTTGTATGAGACAAATCTAAAAACAAGTGGGTATTTTTTACGTCTTTTTGTTTTGTTTTCGCTATCTTTGCCCGGTTTGTTTCAGAGAGGTGCTGTCTGCTAAACGACCTCTGTCAGGTAGCGTGGCAATGCAGTGTACATTGCCGTAGCAGCAATCTTATTCCTTGATCAATTGTTAGAAAGTGCACTTTTGGGGCCCCAAATCTTATCCAGTCTTAGCTGGTGAGCTATTTTGTCTTAAAACCTAGACTGGGCAGAATTGTGGAAAATTTTTTACTTCAGCCTTGATTTGAAAAACACAGTTCGTAAAGGCACCACCTCCCAAATTAAGACTGGGTTTCACCATTTTCCACAGTTCTACAAGGTCTTAACATTTTAAGGCAAAGGAAAAAGGGGAAAAAGCCTGTCAAATTTCTGCACCTTTCGCAATGGGCTTATATCTTATACCAAGGTTTTGCATCCAAAAGCTCAGCTAAGACTTGACAATATCAACTTTCAAACAGTTACAGGCAGCTCTGGGATTCATACCTGCTAACCCTAATCCTCTACTGTCTTTACTTCTAGGCTTGCTTAGTTGTTTAATCTCTGATTATGTGTAATCGTTTACCTCAAAAAACTGCTTGAACTGACTGCATCCTCTGCCGAATTGCATAGGAATCACTTGCTCTGTTTTATTAGTTTATTGTATAGGTGATATTTAATTGTAGGATTCTGATCATTAATTATATGGGAGACCCAAATATTCTGAAACTTTAAAAAAGTTACAGAAATAACTGGCCAAATCATTTAACTGCTAAGAGGCCATTCAAACTGGTTAACAATTAACTTTGCTAGGTACAAACCCAGGACACTTCAGAAGCCAGCATTTGAAAATGTGCATTTTATTCTGTTTTCACTTATGTGAAAGTTAACCTTTCACTATAGTTCAGTGAAATTGTTTTCTCCCTTTTTATATATTCTGCTGAAAGGAAGGATATTTTCACTGCTAAATCAGCAGATATGTCACATCAAATGATGAGATCAGATATGCTCTTTCAGAGGCACCTTATAGCATTCCCATCTTACTATAGGTGTAAGTGAGAATCCCAGATGTCACTAAAATATGGAGAGAATCATGCTGTTATTTAGACAAGCAAGGGAGAACAGTAGCCCTGAGTCTCAAAGATGACCTCACACTCCAATACCTGACAAACTGAGTGGGGAGAGCACTGTTAGTTGAATGGAAAAGGAATTAAAAAAACAAAACACTTAGTTCATCCTTGCATAACAGAACATGACTATTGATGGAGATCCAATCTTATTGACAAGATAATTATCATTACACTCCAATTCTTTAATGTTACATTTCTCTCTTGTGTGCCTGATTATAACTTTGAGAGACATTGGTTCTGATTTGGTTCAGTGCTAAATTGGAAAGTAATCTGCATTATGTCATACATGAAAGTATGCTTATCTCAATAATTTCCAAATTGAGAAAATGTAACAAATAAGGAGTTTTTAGTGTGGTGCACACTAGATCACAACACTACAATAATGCACAATATGAATCACTATGAATGACACGACAGTACGAATCACTATGTCTGTATGACTGTGCAGTGAACTTCAAAAAGCATTCACACTCATACACAAACACCCACATGCAGCTGTGAGGATAGGGAACATCTGCCTAAATCTCAAAAACAAAGTTACAGTTAGCACTGTATTAAGTGCATGACTGATTAGAAATAAAAGCATACATCCTTATTAGAGTCCAAAGTCAAAGTGCTTAATTCTCTTTTATTAAGATATGAACATTTTTATTTTTTAAAGAATGATATAATTATTTGCGAAGTACAAAGTAAGTCATCATTTTACCTATCACTGTACTTTATTTGCTCTTATCTAAAATTATCCTCAATGCAGCTCACTTCCGTGTCTACTCACCTTCCTTCTCTCACCATTAATGCCCCTCCATTGCTCTGCCTTTTTGGCTATGTAGCTTAGCTCCTGATTGGACACCTCCAGATCTAATGGTACCAAAAAATGATCCTCACTGCTGAGGAGGCGATGGAAGAAATCTAGCAAGGGACCATCATTGTGCAGCCTTTAAAGTAACACAGATATGTTAAAAGTTATTCCTTTCACAGCCTCACATGTAATAGAGCATTATACACACTAATGAGTAGAATACACTTCCACCCCAAGCCTCGCATTCCTCAAGGCTCCCAGAATATCTTGACATTATACCAGTAACCGTACATTATATACACTACAAAGAGAGGAATTCTAATCAGCCAGCTATTATCTCATATGGTGGATCCCTGAAAACCTATGTGGCCTTTAATATTGCTTTGTTTCTGAAGTATGATTATTAAATCAAAAGCATTATTTCATTTTTCTTTAAAAGAAAGCATTGCAAAAAGATTGTACCTCTTTAATATGTAATTAAAACAGGGATAACAGCACAGCCCATCTCTGTATATTGCCTGAAGCATTTTCGGGAAATAGGTCATACGCTATGTCACAAGTTGCACCAACAGCCAATGGAAGCTGCAGTCTCTGAAGCCAAGACGCTTCAGCTCAGTGCCCTACATTTGCAACAATTCACTGCACTGTGAGTGGCAGAAACCATTATTTTTGGCTCATGTTTTAATATCGGTCACTTAGTTAAACCAGATATTATGCAGCAACTGGGTGCTATTGATATTAATGGTTAGATGACTGGGTTCAGCTATACTGCCTGAGACTGATATTAAAAGGACACGAAAGGTATAGATTCAAACCCTGAAGCCCAGAGGTATTCCATGCCTCTGTCTAATGTTTCAGACTTTTTTTGTTTTTTTTTAACCCTCCACACTCATCACTCTGCTTGCTTTTTCCACCGTCTGTTGGTGAGTTCCCAAGTGCCTTGGGACGTCCTCCTGACATGAAAGGTGCTCTATAAACATAATTTTGTTGTTGTTTGTTGAGTATGCAGGTGGGCAATGCAGGGTTAAGGAGTTTTTTGCTGGATCAGCTATCTAATTCTCAGGGGCTGACACATGAAACCACTTTAGGAGTAAGCTCAAGCGAACACGGTAATCTAAAACTACCATAGGTAGCCATTTACAGATGCCATTTAAGCTGCCTTTATAATTTTTTGATCATATCAATAGTAAATAACAGTGGATCAAACTGGGAAATGACAGAAAAATATTTGTTTAAGAACTATTCATTTAATTCATGTGTTAGATATCCCATTTTGCAATCTTTGTACAGCATCAAGACTATCTTACAATGCTTTATCTGATCTAAGTACATCCAGTGCCTGGGCCACATCAGAAACTAATGTACTTCATAAACAAGAGGTGATTGCCTGTATTCAATGCCTTCCCTAGAGTAACTGATTAAAATTAATATTAATTATGAGTGAAACAATCTATATTTCAAATCTTTAGCGACCAATCATTTTACAAACGGAATTAAATAATGGCATAATTTGCAGTATTTAATGTAGAACAACATTACTAGATTCACACTAAATCTGGCATGGTACAGCACTGAGTGGCAACGACTTTGTCTTGTCCCCCATTACCCTGCACGTCTGCCTCCATCCCTCTGCCCCTCTTCCGTTTCCGCTTGCACCCAGCCTATATCTTGAGTACTCCACAACAACAACAACAAAACATTACATTTGTCTAGCGAATTACCAAACTGGATCTCCAGTTCTCAAAGTGGCAGACGAGAGATTGATTTTTTTTGCTTTTAGAGATTGGTAAGTATTTATTGTTTGGGTTAATAATTCTGAGATGATACACTGCGTGAGAAGCACTATATCAATGCAATTTGTTGTTGTTATAGTTAATTTCGAATCTGGTTGCTTAGAAGAGAGGCAAGATCTGTGCTCTCCCTGGCCCAGAAAATTTTATTCTGTATCTGAATTTGGAGCCTCTGCAAAATTATTATTTTTCCTTCCATCGCGATGTAGTTCCACAGGCTCTGTTGCACACATTCTTAGTATATAATTAGTATATAATTGTCTCAATATTTTAATTTTAACCATACAAGGTCCTGAAAATCCACCAAGTCTTAACATGTTGGACTATGTAAAATTTAGGGTGGCGCAGAATTGTTAACAATTCTTAAATCCTATCTCAATTTGTAAAGCTGTTTCAGAAAATCAGCTTCCAAATTAACACAGAATTTAATAAGAGTTTTAGACAATTCTTCACCACTATTATAGAATGGATTTAAGAGGTCTAAGAATAAAAGAATGGATGACATTTTGGGTCTGGAGTGGAATTTAAACAATGTCTATTTGCAGTTTATCATTAATGGCACATATTATGTTTTGGCATGAAAAATATAACAAAAAGACAACCTATAACAAGGATAGCCATTTGGGATACTACTCCTCAAATATGGTAGTCCACATAAAAAGAAAGGCATTTCTCGACATGAAGTCCTGACTGAATGAGTACATTTTGAACCTCTGGTCTTCCTGGTTTCCTTATGTACAAGGTTGAAACACCATGGTGTGACTCACATTGCTCCTAATGAGATTTCCCATTCACTTGTGTAAAGTTTAGTGTTAGCAAACAACATGCCTTTGATGCCACTAACCCATGATACTGTTTGTTTTCCCCAATTGCAGAATGAACACCAAACCAGCAGCATACATCTGCCTCAGGTGCGACATCTGGGCATCAAAATAAGCAGTCACTATCACAATGCAGAGATACACACTCATGGGAAAAACAGCTAGTCAGCTAGCGCTTCGAATATTAAGCATTTAGCAGTTTAGAACTACACTGATGGTCTGCCGAGTAAAGACACCACCTGTGTAGCATAATGCAATACAGATGTCATAGATATGATTCCCAGTCTGTAGTGACTCAGCAAAGGCAGCAGAACATCAGGACTCTCCAATTGACTTTAGAGATTGGTGGAGGGGGTAGGAAATCACCTGGAGCAGGTGATGAGAGGCCCCAAATTCTTCTCAGGCATGGTGACAGCAATTCAAATCTGATTCACTACATCCTGTTTTGAAATTAAGATAGTGTGTTAAAAGGCATTATTGCACCATGGACAAAGGCTCCAACATTTTTGTTAGCTTAAAAATAGTCAGTCGTGTCAGCATGGAGCTCCAACCCAAGTTGGGGGTGGGTGGGGTTGCTCAGTCCGATACCCACCAATGAAGACAGATTGTTAATGATACAAAAGGACTACATTTTCTGACCTTGGTCTAATTATCATATCCATGGTTTAAGAGAATGTGATGCCTCAGGATGCCTCAGATTGACTGGATAAAGATACATTTCCAGTCATATTGAATCCAGATTGGCTGTTTGCCTCTCTTTCCATTCTTTCCTAAACAGAAAATGTTCCTGTGGGTTAGGCATCTAAAAATGTCCACTTTTATTTTTGGTCTCATCAGTTCAGTTGTTTAGTCTTACAGTTTTTTTTAACTCATTCAGCCCCAAAGTTAACACCACAGAATTAAGAAAGGATATCCTTAACATTTGAGAGGGGCAATGAGACTGGGAAAATACACTGAAAAGGCAGAGGGGGGATAAAGGAAATGGAACAAGGGAGCCAAAAGTCAGGAAAGGATCAGAGAGAGTTAATAACATCAAGATGCCAACGGAGTGACAAATAAAGAAAAGGAGTAAAAAAATGTCATTATTAGAAGCCAGCTTTATAGACTGGGCAGCCTTACAGCTAAGAGAGTGGAGTCACTTTGACAGACTTCTCACCTCCCGTGTAAACCCAACCTTCTGTCAAAGTGTAGGCTGCAGAAATATCAATCCATGTTGATATATTAGCAAATTATCCCATCAATGCCTCAGGATTTTTAAAACAAATTGCCAACCCTTTGACATACATCAATGTTTCTGTGAAGTGAGACACAGTGGTGTCTAGTGATGTCCTATAAATAGCATCATAAGGTTCTGAAGGTACATAGTCAACTTACAGCCCACTCTCCCAATCCTCCGAGCTGCTTTAAACCACATGACATAATAAGTATGGGAGGAAATGTGAATTAATTCAAAACAAATAATGAAATGATCACCGCTCAATCCCTCCTTTCCTTAACCCCGCAACAAACATCAATGATGTATTCTTACCTTAAGTAATATATATAGAGTATTGTGAGGGAACAAATGAAAAGCACAATGTAAAGGAAGACAGTAATCAGGATGCCAGCGATTCCAGAATGCTCTGTTCTGTAAAACAGCCAATAAAGCTTGGCCACATCTGCTATTGGACTCTCTGCACTGTAAGACAGACGCTGCGAAGAAATGCACACAAATCAGTGTTAGATGAAACAACTTCTGTGTGCGTTTAGACCACATCTAAGTCATTCACACGTCAAAAGATAGAAGTTAATTGCACATGGAGCTTGGCTAATACCAATCTCCATGTGCAATCAAGGTATTTGTATTTATTTATACTGTATATATTCAGACACAGCAGTGCTGTTGCAAAGGTACATCGTTCACTGTAATTACCCCATCATGGACAGCACTTTTAATAATAATAATAATAATCCTTGCATTTGATATAGCGCTTTTCACGTCGGGAGAATGTCCCAAAGTGCTTCACAGAACACACTGTAAAATGGAATTGACTGTATATTTGTGGGCGAACGCGGCAGCCAATTGCACACAGCAATGTCCCACAAACAGTCGTGGATTGAAAATGACCAATTTATTATTGTTTTTGTTTTTCTGGAGGGATTATTATTAGGCGTGTGGAGTAAGGAAACTTGCCCAAGGTTTCGCCCTGGAATTGAACTCAGGTCTCTCGCTTGCAAAGCGAGTGCTCTAACCACTGAGCTACAGGACTCCAAGCACCAAGTTTAAAAATATAAGGACTATCTGGAAGTTAATTAAATATTTACAAAATACACACAAATTACATAAATCCTGTGAATCTGTCCAATGTGAAAGATGCTATATCAAATGCCAAAATGATTATTATTTATTATTATAAGATGTGATTTGCAATATTTTTTAGGCATTAGTAATATGAATATATAAATTTGTTTTGGCCTTAAAATTAATAGTTCTTCTTGCTTCATCACCTTTCCCCTGTTTATGCCAAAATATCTTCATGTCAAATATTTTGCATTAAAACTCTGCATGAAATTAAATTAATAAGACAAATGCAGCAACTTGCCTTTATATAGCACCTTTCATAAAGGAAAACATCTCAAAGTGATTCACAAAGACAGGGTTGGACAGCAAGAGAGTGGGGAGTGGGAAGGAGAGAGATGGAGGTGACCGTAGGTACATGCAAAGAGGTAAGTTATTATGTAGGATTTAGGCAGATATAGATGGTATGAGACAGAAGATTAGAGGAAGGGAGTTAGAGGTCAAGTATAAAAAGTATATTGCATTTATGATTTGTTATAAAATGTCTACAGAATTCTTTCCTTATCTCCATCTTTTATTTTTGTTATTTTCACTAAAATCGAAACTATTTTAATTAAATCACTGATAGGATTATTTTTTTACAGTCAATTCCCAGCTATTCCTTCTTTTTACACAGAATGTCTATGTGAAGATTGACGTATAGTTAATTTCTTAAGCACAATCTTCAATCCTCATACAAAACCAATCGCAGGGTTTTTCTGCTGCTCAGTGGCTGGGGTGCAAGTCAATTCACCTGAAATGTTTGCTCCTAAGAAAATAAAATGCCATTCCATTGGAATGCAGCTCCCTTACTTTCACTCTGTGCTTACTGTTACTTGTCTGCCTATTTACCTGGAAGTGACAATAACAGGCACCACTGTACGTGGAAAGAACAGCTGTTCTATGCGGCTGCTTCTATCTGTAATTCTACCTGACAATGTTCAGTATCAGCAAATCATTTTCTTGCTGGAAACATGTACAGCAAAACCTTTGGGGTGAATATCAGTGGCCTTTATAGAGCAACAGTCTTTAATGTACGTTTAAATCTGAACAATTCATCTCTAGTTATGCCTGATGTTGGGGGGAGGGGAGAGAGGCAGGGCACCGGAGACAGATGATCTTTCATTAAGACTACTTATTGGACTATTGGAATGGCACAGAGATCAGTGGACTGATGTGTTTACATTGTAAAGTGGTGGAATTCAAGTTTGCATCCACGGTTCTACCAAGGACCAGTCTCCAGTTGCAACCATACCTGACAACATTGAGGGAGGAAATTCGGGAAGGTCACCCACCCTCCACCCCCCACCCCTCCCCACACACACCCAGAATGGTGATTGGCGTAGTGGACGGGGTCATAAAATAAACAAACATTGCTTCAAAATAAAGGAAATCTATCATCAAGGGCTAATCTCTCGTTGTTAAGTGTAGTGACTTTACACATGGCTTGTCTTACAACTAATGCAACAATGAACGTACTCTGTATGTATAGTAGGATTTCCATTACAAATCCCACATTCTTAAAATCGCTACAATTGGTGGCGAGGAATTTCTCATTCCTTATTACTTTTTAAAACATCAGGTTCTCAATTAAATAGCATCAATTTAGTGCAGTCATCATCCTGTGGCTGAAAGCTGGTTATTGAATAAAGCCAGTGTCCAGACCTCACCTATCCTTCCTGGTAACCCATTCAGGTTGTCATTAATTTTTTTTATATTTAAGTTTGTCCAATTATTTTCTAGTTTTGTGTCTCCTGATTGCCTGCCTCCTCTTCTTCCATGTAGTCGCACTGGGATTTGATGCTGTGAGGGGACGACGCAAAGTGGGTTCTGGAACAATGGATCAAAGGGCCTTCTTCATCCAAACCTCTCAGGTGATCTTGTGATTTTAAAAACACAGATACCGCAGAGTGATTTGAAATCTAATCTTGACTTTATGTCTATTAATATAAAAAATCAGACCTGCAACCACTCCCAGTGAGATGAGCTGCCTTGTAACCACTCCTAATAATATATTGGACTTCATTTTACAGCAGGTAATTCCGTTTCAAACTGATGGGCTTTTATGTGCCAGACACCTCATATACTATTAATACTGAATTTGTTTCAAAAAGAAATATAGTCAGACAAGAAAAATAACAATTTTCCAGACATACCATCAGCCAAATGGCAAACGTCAGAATGTATCATTTTTGCTTTTGTCAGACAGAACTCATCCGTAATGATTTTATATAAAAATGTCCTTTGAATCAAACTACATGTAATTTTAATTTTTATTTCCTGCTCTTATTCTACATTACATGATTATTTTGGCAGCTATTCTGTGGCTTGTATTGGTTTTTTTATGCCATAACTCCTTTTAGTCTAAAATGCCCTCAAGGGTTTTCTCTTTCAACTAGCTCAAACTCTGAAATAAGCAAGTATTCTTATTCGAATTAAAAATATAAAACAATTAATGGTCCACAGTGGAGAAATAAACAAAAGAGCTGGCCATCAATTGTTACAGTAAAGCTTTTCTTCAGATTACACTACTATAGTTAGTCATATTACCATAGTCAATAGTGTAGCATGGATAGGCCATTGCACAACAGGAACAGCATCAAAGTATTGACTCATAGGACAGTGCAAAGTTGGTGATAGACATTAAATCTTATCTAAATTATAACATGATTACACTCCAGGTATTAACCTGGTATTTCAAACTCTCTAACACCAATTTAACTTGTTGGATGCCGAATGTAGGAGGGCAAACGGATTGCATTGCTAAACCCAAGGAATAAACTCGCAACAGTCTGAAATTGGCACTTTCTGAATAATTAAAATAATTATTCAGAAAGACGTTTGACATCTCTCCACTTGGATTAACATTGCCCTGATCTAATCCTTGGTGGTTTCATGAGGTGGAAGATGGAAGGGGAAGCAGATAGTAGTAAATGCATTGCGGTGGTAGTAGGTCAGCTTTTAAGTAATTCCTATATTATTGACACCTGATGTCAAGCAGTGGGTCCACAGCCCAGGCTCAGTGCTGTGGGTTAGAGAGAGTTATAGATTAATCCCTGGCATTTATGGGTAATCTTTATCCAAGACTGACAGCTGGGGGATGGAGAGGGAAGATGGGAGTGCCTCCAAGGTGGATGTGAGTAGAAGTTCAACCTCTCAGGGAGTTACCCGGGGAGTTAGGGAAGAGTCTGGGATCTTTCTCTACACGTATGTATAGGCATTTGATATTCTAACCTTATATTTGGATTCAGAGATTCCAAAATGCAATCTTTTGGACTCATTCTTGATACATTTCTGTTATTAACCAAACAACATTACATTTGCAAGATTTTGCTATAAATACCTAAACAGCACACTGTATTTTTTAGCAAAAGAGTACAACCCACAGCTAACAGTAAACTATTTACTATTAGCCACATGACTTGCTATCTCCAAGCAAGGTACAAATAATCTGCAATGGGATGTTCCAGCACAGTAATACACATTTTCAAAAGTGTATCATCCTTTCCCGGGGTACAGTAAAATCTATTTAAAGTCTGCATGCACAAGTTATTTTAACTGACTTACCCCGAGGATGCCATCCACTATAAATATTGCCAGAGGGTCAAGCATTGTCCAAAGTCCCATAGCCATGATAAACTTTGACAAGAAGCAAGGAAATGATCCAAATAGTACACGACAGACCCATCTGATCATGACCATAATAAGCATAGCTACATTCAAGGTCAGAGGTCCCATCACTACAACGGTCAGCTCCTCACGGGTGTGCAGCAGAGAATTCTGGTAGCTAAGTTCAACCGTGTGTGGATAGAATTGGAACCTTAAATTTAAAAAAATTATGTTTTAATTATTTGACTTATAAAAGCTATTGAACCTTTAACATTCAAATCATCAAAGGGCATTTGGATAGTATCACAGAATATTACAGGACAGAAGCAGACCATTCAGCCCAACATATCTCTCTATTTATCAAATTGGACATTATTATAGCTGTAAGGCCACGTGAAGTCTATTGATAGTTGATCATTAGTGAAAATGTTTGCCGAGCAATATTTCAATGATGGAATGGAGTTGGAATGGCATGTGTATGCACTAAATGAACAAATAGAAACATGGGTGGATGCCTTTGATTCGAAATCTAACAAGTTCTTAATGTCAGGTAGGTTCATGAGAGACAATGCTGAACACAGGCCAACAAACTTCTGAATGTTAAGGGAGAGGAAAGTCAACGGGCGAGTTGGCATGAATATTCTGACACTCAGCCTGGAAGGCAGTTACAAAACATCATTTGAATAAATGTCTGATGGAAAATAGAATCAAACCTGAATACATATATTGTGGGTTGGCTACAAAATGTTTTGGAAACACTCAGGGTCACCTTTCCTCCTTCATTTGGCATAACGTCTCAATCAAATTATAATAATTCTTGTACTTGATATAGTGCCTTATCATGTCGTTGAGACATTTCAAAAAACTTCACGGAATATACTGTAAAGTGAATTGACTATATATTTTGTGGGTAAAAATTGATGACTAAATTTAAATATGATGTATGCTATTATCATTAGAAAAATGATGATTATACATAGACCTCAGCAGAAACAATATTTAAATGTTAGATTATTCACAATTCAAAATTGAATACATGTTGCTGGGGTAAAACCAACAATCGGAGCCACTTGTACAGTGTTTAACACAGTAAAGTCCACTTGTTTACTAATCTACTAATCGTGATCACCAGTACCTTTTATTCACATGATTTAAATCCCTCAATGGTTTTGTCCCATCCTACTTCTACGACCTTAAATCCTACCAACCCGCCCATTCCCTCTCCTTGGGAGCCACTGGCCTGCTTCACATCCCCCGCCCTGCCTGCCCTATCTTTGCTGGTTGGGCTTTCATCCTATCTGCCCCCACTCTCTGTAACTCCATCCCGGTGTCCCTTCACCTCACCTCCTGCAAGGTCAGTCTCAAGAACTTCCTCTTTGACCGTGCCTTCGGTTAGCTACCCCCAACCTACTCTCATCTCCTGGGCTCCCACTCTCCTGTACCCAACCCCCAGCTCGAGTCCAAACCCTTCGGAAGTCCTGATGTGAAAGGGGCTACATAAATACAATTTGTTGTTGTTGTCACTGGTGCTTTTAAATCAGGGTCTGATCACTGAAATTATTGATATTTTCAATATATTCATTTTATAGAATATATTTTCAATTATGAAGGCTTAGAAAAAAGATCACTTTTCTTAACCATCAGTGTAAAATAGCAAGGAACTTGCAATTAATAGTGCCTTATGTCAAAAACCCCTACAGCACGTCACAGATGTATGGACTTTTTTTTAGTTAAATATGGCAGCCATTTCCAATTTATCTAGAGCATGGCTGGCTAGAACATCAGATGAAACTCTTCCCTTTTTTCGAATTCAAGATCCTCATCCTCACCTACAAGCCCATTCACGGCCTTGCACCCTCCTACATCTCCGACCTACTATCCCCCCAAGTACCTGCCCGTACCCTCCGTTCCTCTGGCTCCGGTCTGCTCCACGTCCCCCGCCCTAACCGCCCTCTCATCGGTGGCCGGGCTTTCAGCCTCTCAGCCTTAGGCTCTGGAACTCCATCTCCCAGTGCCTTTACCTTGCTTCCTCCCTTTCCTCCTTCAAGACCGGTCTCAAGACCTTTCTCTTCAACTGTGCCTTCAGCTCCCCTCTTGACTCTTTACCCTTCCCTCCCCTCACCCTGACCATTTCCCCGCTGCTCAGGTCCCGACCGAACTGTCCAGTGCCTCAGGACGTCCTCCCGACGTGAAAGGCGCTCTATAAATGCAATCATGTTGTTGTTGTTTTTGAACAGTGTCACAGGTCTTTAACATTCACTTGAAGAACAGGCATATAAGACATTGGTTTTCAGCGCCAAATGAGGACATTTTAACAAATCCGGCACTCCCCAGTATTGCACTGCAGTGCCAGCCTTTAGCGGGTACTCAAGTAATAATAATAATCCTTGCATTTTATATAGCGCTTTTCATGTCGGGAGGACGTCCCAAAGCGCTTCACAGAACACACTGTAAAGTGAATTGATTGTATATTTGTGGACGAACGCAGCAGCCAATTGCGCACAGCAATGTCCCACAAACAGTCGTAGATTGAAAATGACCAATTTATTATTGTTTTTGGTTTTAGAGGGATTATTATTAGGCTCTGTGTGGAGTAAGGAAACTTGCCCAAGGTTTTGCCCTGCCTGGAATTGAAGTCAGGTCTCTCGCTTGCAAAGCGAGTGCTCTAACCACTGAGCTACAGGACTCCACGGTGAATTCCATCAAAGACTGAGATGGAGACTCAGAACAAAAAACTGTACAAGACATAAGACATAGGGCAGATGCAAATCTAAGCATTGAAGCAGTATTCTTTTTCAGACCAGGTAGGCTGCTCTATTCTCCAGTATCTTCCCCAATAATTATATAACAGAGACTTTAAATTCTAATTTCCAGTATTGAAATTGTTCCATTTTACTGGATTGGACTCGCAAATAAATGCATTAATTAAATGCAAATTGATGATGTTGGGAGCTCAGTTGGGAGCACTCTCGATTCTCGTTCAAGCCCCAAGTCAAGATTTGGAACTCACAGTCTAGGTTGACAAAGTGCAGTGCTGTAGGGGGTGGGGAAGGGGTTGCATTGTTGGAGATAACATCTCTCAGAAAACACATTAAACTGAGAAACCGTCTGCCTGTTCAGGTGGGCATTAAAGATCCCATGGCAGTATTTGAAAAGAGTGGGGAGGAGCTACAGGACTCCCAACAACCTTCTCTCCCAAAGCTTGGAGGACCACCAACTGAGCCAAACTGACACTAATTCCGATAGCACAGGGGTATACTTGAAAGAAAAAGTAAATGGGCGAATGTTGGAAATCTGAAATAAAAATAGAATTTCCAGATGTCATAGCTTGTGTACCTGGAATATAATTTTTTATGAAAATAAAAATAGACCAATAAGTATGAGAAAACGTATTACCAATTGCTCAGTACTTTGCAATGCTTTACACTTCTTATTTACTGATAACAACCTTTCATTAAAGCCAATATGGACATGTGAAACTCTTTGAAACAAAAACTGCAATGCTGGAAATCTGCAGCAAGCCAATCAGCCTCTGATATATAAAAAATATAAGTTTTAATGTTGCAGAAATGACTTTTCATCCAAACGTACATTCTGGGTACATTAGCCACAGATTCCTGGAATTGTTTAATTTTAGATTTCCAAACATTCAAATATTTCCCTTTTATTTCGTATATATAAAATTATATATATATGAAATAATATTTCATATGAAATATTACTAGGAATTTTTAACAGGTACATCTACACCCACATGACAAAAGGGTTTCACAAGTCACCTTTTTGTGAGGATTTTTCGGGAGGGCGAAATGTGGCAATGCATTTCGATGGGATTTACCTAATCCTGTCATGGGTTTGCAAACGAATGGAAATATGTGGAGTCCTGTAGCTCAGTGGTTAGAGCACTCGCTTTGCAAGTGAGAGACCTGAGTTCAATTCCAGGCAGAGGGCGAAACCTTGGGCAAGTTTCCTTACTCCACACGCCTAATAATAATCCCTCCAAAACCGAAACAATAATAAATTGGTCATTTTCAATCTACGACTGTTTGTGGGACATTGCTGTGCGCAATTGGCTGCCGCGTTCGCCCACAAATATACAGTCAATTCACTTTACAGTATATTCTTGTGAAGCGCTTTGGGACGTCCTCCCGACATGAAAAGCGCTATATCAAATGCAAGGATTATTTAGGATTATTATAATATGATTTTCTCGCGAAGGAAGCTTTCTTTTTAAATAGTTATCTTCAGGTCCGAACAGTGCATTCAGGAAACTGGCTAGGGGAGGAGAGTGCACTAAATAATAAGAGCAAAGCACATTTCAAAGTGGAAATTATGTACATTACATACAATTGACAACTTGACATCAATTAGATAACATCACCTCATGGCACCAGTAATTGAGAGGCGAGTTTGTAATCCTTTTGGCAGTTTGCTTCCTAACTCAACCTAACCATTGCATTCAGGTAGATTGTTCACTGAGTTTCTAAAATAAATAAATGAGTTCTCAAGATAAATTCTTTAGGTTCAGTGGTAATAATAAATACACAAAACTAATTCCCTGTGTCATTTCTTCACACTGACTAATTTGTCATGTTATTCCGATTCCTCACAAAAGAGCAATAAACTAGTTACTAAAGAACCAAAAGTTTGATTTCCAGCATCTCATACATAAATGTCAAGACCAGCGAGCCTACTTGTTGACGGGGACACCAATTGCTTGCAGGAAGAGGTATTGGCTGTAGTAATGCAGGTATAGCCTCACGAACCAGATCAATGCAATAAGTAGCATAATGAGCCAGAACTCTGATGAATGCCACTGTGAGAGCCCAAGCTCCTCGAGGAACATCCAACCTACAAAACGGCAGCGCACATTGACTCTTCTGTGATCTTTCAGGGCTGTCTCAGGAAAAGAATCGGATCTGGAAAATTATAAATAAAACAAAAAGGTTTGAAAATCAAACAAATTAGATATATTTATTGTTATTTATATAATATACTTATTCCTGCTATTAAAATGATAAATAAAGAAAAATAACAGGATAAGTGTTAATTGCATTAACAGACTTTTAACTGAACATGGCTTAGTTGGTAGCACTCCATTTCTGAGTTTTCAAGGTTGTGGGTTGAAGCTCCACATTGGGACTTTGAGCTCATAGTGTAGATTCTCTCAGTGTCCAGGGTAACAATCCCCCAAGTAAAAATGGTTATTCACTTCATGACTGTTTGTAGCACATTATTGTGCCTAAATTGGCTGCCATATTCGTCTACAAATATTAATAATAATCCTTCATTGGATATCGCGCCTGATTGCATTGTCGAGCCATCTCAAAGCGATTCACAGGATTTAACTGTAAAGTGGTTTGACTGTATTTTGTGGGTGAAACATAGCAGCCAGTTTATGCACAGCAATGTCCCACAAACCGTCATGGAGTGCTGATCAATTTAATTTGGATGATTTGTTGACCAGGACACAGTGAGAAACTCCCTTTTCTTTTCAAAAGGGCCATATTCACAGTCAATGTACTACTTAGTAAATACTGTGAAGCACTTTGAGACGTCATCCCGATATCAAAATCGGGATATCAAATGCAAAGATTATTTATTATTAATATTCTTTGAAGCATTTAAAAAGCTCTAGAAAGCTACAGATTCATTTTCTGTATTTTTCTGTTTGCAGTGAATATTTAATTGACTGTTTCTGAATCAGACTTGGGTGGGAAGTATTTCATGACACCATTGCACGTAGTTACAATTTGCATACTTACGGTTGGCAGGGTTACCGGACACATGCAATATGTTCTGTTACATACTGTTGGATTTTCTACACTACTAACTATGTGGAACAGATTGTCCAGAGTCAAAACATCACCCCAGATTGGTTCGAAATAATGTGATTAGAGGATATGTTTTAACCCAATGTGGAAGCTTTTCTTTCAAAAGCAAGTTAGATAGATTTTTCTTAGGAAATAATATCTTAGGATACGGTATCTAGTTTGGGACATGATAGGTGCTTATGACTGCCAGGGTGATTAAGTAACTCTTATGAAGAACCTCATCCTACAGAGGTTACAACAGCCACAACATTTTATTTAAGTCATTGTGTCTAAAAGCGATAATATTCAGAATGATCTTCAAATAGAGAGAAGTTACCTAAATACAAATGTTTAAGCACTGCGGTTTGGGTCAGTTTTACATATTATCATAATAATAATGCAGATTGAGTATGGCATGCATTGATTACAAGAAAGCATTTGACAGTGTTCCTCATAGCTGGATTATTAAATGCATGGAGATGTACAATAATAATACAATGTTTAAAAGATTCAAATGGCAATGGTACTTCTATCTGTGTTTTTTGTTTGTTTTTTCTCTGTTTATTTTGTTTGCACACAAAGAATAAGGAAAATGGTTAGTAACAAGCGAGTCTATTACATTTTATGGCTCATTCCCATTCCACCCATTTAACTTCTTTTACTCCAATCCCCAAGTGCCCAGCAGCGCAGACATTGCAGAGAACAGCAGCCTGTAATGGGAATTTCTTCACTCTATCCATTTTTTTGATTGGACATGGGATGCTGTATAGCAGAGGAATCCCTTCGGAGATGGGAACAGCTCCTGTTTCCAGCAAATTGAGTTAAAAGTGGCTTCAGTTCAAGTAAATCAAGTTAAAGGCAGCTCTCCATCCGATCTACATGCCTAATCATTGCTCCCCTCATGAAATCCTACTAGTACAGCTCCTATTCTTAAACCTTTCTGGCTGACATCCTTTGCTAATTCACCTGTGTCACTGAGTTGGAGCATAGCAACAATTTTGCAAGCGGGGCTTCAGTTTCCTGGACTCAGGATTTCTTTCAAGCACAACTGTTTTACCTATCTCAATCACCTTGAGCACCAGTTAAATATCTTCAAATCACACCCTACGTTCAACATCAACAACAACTTGCATTTATATAAAGCCCTTCACGTGGGGAGCATTTCAGCTCTGACGAAGGGTCGGTATGAAAGGTTAATCTGTTCTTTTTGAAATAGTGATTGATCAGGATTTCTAAATAATAATAATCCTTGTGCCTCATCAGGTCAAAATGTCTCAAAGTGCTTTTCAGAGTTTTCTGTAACGTGTAGTAACTGTGTTTGACAATGTGACATTTCTAATTTTATTCCAGCCTGGTTTGCGTTCTCTGAAATTCATTTGGAAGGAGAATGATTAAGACGCTTGTAAAAAAAACTTTTAAGTTGATAATAAAGTTTAAACAGTCATAGCCATAAAATAGTATTGAAGGGTATTTGAATTAAGTAAGGCCTTACTTGAATTAAGGCTACATTAAGCCTGTGAATCTTTAGAGTTAGATGCTTCTTCTGGTGAATAACATCACTCTTATATGGAAGCAAGATTTTTGGCAAGCACCTTTTGCACTGAAATATATTAGTAGTGAAGCAATTAGATCAATCTAAATTTAGGTCAAGTGTGCAAGATGATCATTAAAATCATTCTTATTCCATTGGTTGTCAGACGATTCTTTAAAGGACTCAGTGGGATAGTTTATACCAGAAACAATTACACGAGATTCTGATCTCTTGGCAATCCTATTTTCTGACCGGAAACCAAATAGTTTGCGGTTACTTCTGACTCAAGAGAACTGCAAATCAGTTCTTATTCATCCTTAATTACTACAGGCTAGTACATGAGATATTACATAACCTCTTGTGTCAGTTGTTAATTTTAACAGATATTTTAACAGGTATTTAATAGTGTCAGATTTGGTTGCATTTAGAAACAGGTAAGGTTTCAGCCTTTAATTTAAATGTGAGAGCTCATATTGTTTAGCGCTTTGCGAACTAAATGAAGGCGAAGCGTAATTCACCAAGATTAAAGGAAATGCCATTTAAAGTGTTTATAATTTGGATTTCCTTTTGACTATGATTGGCTTAACTATTAAGCACTCTGCTGATCATGGAATGCCATTCCTGTAATGGGTAAACTCGGGTAAAAGGCAAGACCATACAATAACTAGTCATGCAACCCTGCATTTCATTCAAGGTACCTCTGGATTTTGTCATCATGTGAAAATCCTGTATGCTGTGAAATTATGGCACTGATTGAACTGTGTAAATCCAGAATATGACTTATTACTTAAATGGTTGCCAGAATTAATATACTACTCTATACTTCCCATTTTACAAATGTAAATTCAGTGTTTTTCTAACATTTGAATGTTTATCCCCCTCTCCTCCCCTTCTTCCACAGCTAAACAGAGGGTCGAGTGGGGGTGTGGGGGGGGGGGGGGGGCATGTTAGTCCATACTGGAGCATGTTAACTTCTCAGACAAATTAACCATCTGACTCTTTTCCCCTTTGCTTCTCCCTGGCAATGTAGACTGAAAGGCAGCCCAAATAAGATCCTAGAACAGCTGGTCCGATTTCAGTGCAAATCAAAATGTTCATACCAAATGAAGAGCTTTGTTCTCAACTAGGGGAGAAATTTAAAACTGAAATCATTATTTTTGGCAAAATAAACATTTTTTTGATAAGGATATGGGGTAAATCGGACAGGTACTAAGGACATTCCTTATGTCCAATCCTCCCGAGCAAATGGCAAAATAGGCCTCAAAGCAACATTACAATTTCAACATAAAGTCACATACTGGTTTGAATACAATTCAAGATACAGTTCAAGTGCACAGAGGGAAGGTTGACTATTCTGTGTATTCATGCAGAATGAAAGCATTGGCACCAAATTTGAGGCCTGATGATAGTAGTGGCAGCAAGGAAGAAAATCAAAGTTTAAATCTAGGGAGAGATCATTCTACTAGAGCTGAGAGTTTAAATCCCAAATGGCTCTGATGCTCAAACTGCTTTCACTGGGCAAGTTTCACCAGTGTGTGGCCAGGAAGGCAGATGGAGTACAGGGTGCAGTAAAGCATGTCTCATTGAAGCCAGCAGAAAAATCAGGCATGTTCTATACAAGTGTAATCATGGAAAACTAATGCAAAATAGCACTGATCTCGACATGGAAAGTCTGTATCAAGGACTCATAATGGGTGAGAGGAGAGAAGGAAGGGAAATATAAATTCAAGATTCCAAGAGTAAAGGTACATTATCCGAAATATTTGCCTGTACTAAACAGCAATCTGTGTGTTTGTATTTTTGTACAATGTAGGCTAAGCAATTCAGGAAGACTAAACAAAGTAGTTTACTATGTTTGCAGAAATAGACATATTTTAATGTTTCTGCATAATTCATTTGGAAAGATAAGCTCTAAAAATAGTAAAAGGTTTTGTGCATAAAAATAACTTGATGTATTAGATAAAGGTGTGTGTTCAAGATTTCTTTTCAGACAACTCTGAGCATTGAAATCGAGCGAGAGTCCCAAATGTAGACAAATACACCCCATCTCATGTACTATCAATGTCAGATCATGGGCATGTGCATCAGTTTATTTTCATTTATGGTTTGTGATTTTCTGGATTTAATGCCAAACAGTGAAAGCTTTCAAGACTGAATTGCACTGTTCATAAGTCAAGGGTTAAACAATGGTTTACACCCATCAGAACCTCTCCTATACTATGACTTCATTGTAATAGCATTGGATAATGGTAAGATTGATATCAATACTGTAATCAACTGACAAAATATTATAAGCAGCTCCCATGTGCTCACATGGGCTCAACAATAGAATTGTTATTGTCTGCAGGCTAAAAATCAAGATCTAACGGCAATAATAAGTAAATTTGGATTTGATATAGTATCTTATCACTTTGAAGCATCTCAAAATGCAGAATCTGAGTTACTTTGAAGTGTCATGAATGTGGATCTGTAGTCAAATGTGGCAGTAATTTATGGCAGAAACGTCCCACAAGCAAGGTTGAGATAAATCAACAAATAACCTACTTTTGGATGAGGCAGGAATGTTGGCCAGGGG